ACTGCCCCGCTGGTCCTCACCGCCCCCCCCCCCCGGGTCCTCACTGCCCCGCTGGGTCTCACCGCCCCGCTGGGTCTCAACGCCATTTCCCCACCAAAGTGCTCCCTTCTCTTCACTGGGCTCCCTCTCCAAGCTGAGCAGGACATCGGTGGGGCTGCAGCAGGTACGGGTCTGACCCAGGTCTCAGGGTCTGCCTGGCACAGAGGGTGAGGCCGCTGGGGTGCGTGGAATGTGCATGGAGGACTCCCGGAGGCCCACAGCCCACGCAGGTAATGGACACGTGGGAACCTGCCCGCCAATGAGAAGGATCGTGGGAAGTACATGTTGGAAGCCTGGGCGTGCCGAGAGCTCCAGAGGTCTCTGTTGGCCTGTGGTTGTCCATAGATGTGTCATTGGAGGCTTGCTGCATCCTGGCAGTGGGGAGCCGGCAGCTGCTCCCTCATCTCCTGCCCCATCTTCCTTGGGATCTGCTACCCAGCAGGTGCAAGGCTCTGAGCACCCGGCTTCATCATCGTCATCTTCACGCCACTCCACCACCCTCACAATCAGCCTCCATCTCCCCCCACCCCCAACCCCACCCCAGGCCTTCAATCAGCTCTGAAATCCCACTGGGAATTGGATCCTGTAGGCGGTGAAAGGCAACACATTAATCGCGGTCACACAGCTTAGGGTCGGTTTAGCCGAAGGCTTCCTCTGCAGCCCTAGGCTTCTGCCCAAGTATTCTCAGCCACAAGGGCACAGCCTACTGCTGCCCACCAGCCACCACCACCACCACCCACCCCGCTGGCCCAAGGTTGGCCTGGAGACCTCTCCACCTGTCAGGATGCCACACATTGGTCCCTTGCCTGCTGATTGGCACCTGGGATGTCCAAGTGGAAGTCCCCACCCTTGCAGCAAGGTGCTACACAGAACAGGCTGAACTGCCCATCACTGCCTCCCCACTCCACCTGCCTTTACTGGAAACTTATGCCAGCTACCAAAAGGAACTTCCCCTTGGACATGGACCCTGGCCGGGACCCTGCCTGCCTCTGCCACACCTATTTCCTGCTTCCTCTTCCTCCCAGCCCACTCCTTGAAGTCCCAGCCCACTGCCCTGCTAATGTGTATAGGCAATGATTCCGGAAGCTTCTAAACCCACCCATTTTCTTTCCATGTTTTCCTTCTTCTTGGGAGACAATGAGCAAAAGCCAGGAGAGCAAACACATGCTTGAGTCTGAGCACCTGTTTTCCCATCCTGACTCCAAGATGGAATGATTCTGGGGTCTTTGGGCAAATTATGGAACATCTTCAAGCATCATTTTTTTTCCTAAATGTAATAAATTCTACTTTGTTGTCCGGATGATCAGAAAAGATGGTATTAAGATATTTAGGGGCTGGCGTTGTGCCTGCAATGCCAGCATCCCATACGGGCACTGTTTGGAGTCCTGGCTGCTCCTCTTCCAATTCAGCTCCCTGCTAATGCACCTGGGAAAGCAGCAGGAGATGGTTCAAGTGCTTGGGCCCCTGCACCCACCTAGGAGACCTGGATGAAGCTCCTGGCTCCTGGCCTAGCCCTGGCCATTGCTGTTATTTGGGGAGTGAACCAGCAGAAGGCTGTAACTCTGCCTTTCAAATAAATAAATCTTTTTTAAAAAGATGTGCAGCTTTTAGTACACCACGTTTCACACTGGTTGCTGTTCTTCTCCGCACAGCCTGATTCCCTCGGATGCCGGCACTCCCATGGTCTCCAGCCAACTGCCCAGCCACACCCCTCCCCCTCCCCAGTGCTCTCGTCCCACCTTTGTCCTGCTGTGGCCGGGACTGCCTTGGATCTCTTCCACATCCCTCCCTATCTCCTTCCAAGAAGTCACATCCAGCGTTCTCGGCATCTGGACTGGCAAGTGACATTAGGCACAGAAGCAAATGGAGAAAGCCTAGAAGTTCCCAAAATGCCATACAGCTTGGCAGGGGTGGAAACGTAGCTCCTCTACCTGCAGGCTGGACAGGTAACACACAGCTTACTATCACAGGCCCTCTGGGGTGCATCTCAACAGGTACAATACTTACTAAACCTATCTGAACTGCCCACTCTTGCAACCATAGGCCATTTCTCTGTCCTCTGCCTACAGTCCATTCAAGGACTCGGCCTTTTGGGGCTACAGGTAAATGTCTCAGGGTGATGGACGCTAGCTCCATGACTGACCCCAATATCACCCAATGCACCAAGCCTTCTTTTCCACCCAGTATCTAACATGGTTTAGGGGACCCACTTCACCCTGCTCTGGGTGACCTAGGACGATGGCCTCCAAGGTCCAAGCAGCATAGACAGAGAAGGCACACACGGACTCTCACCTGCTCATCACTGGTCACTGCCACTCACAATCCACTGGGCAGAACTGCAAGGGAGAATGGGAAATGTGGGCAGCACACAGAATGTCTGTGAGAGTGCTCTCTGCTCTATCTAGGCTGTGTGTCCTCGTGTGAGTATGGCTGTGTGGATGTTGATGGGCTGCTGGGGTGTGTGTGTGTGTGTGTGTGTGTGTGTGTACAATGCCTTTTACAGCCCTTAGTGCCTTTCTACAACCCCTCTCTTGCTTTGCAGCACCTGGGGTGGTCAGCCTCCCACAGAGTCATGCACACAGTAGGTGCTTTATGCTATCAGGTGGGGCACTTGCTGCCCTGCTGCCCCAGAAATGAAGGAGCTGGTTGAAGCAGCCTCTGCACAGGGTCTATAGAAAACCATCCTAGCAGAGCCCAGCCACAGAGCCCTAGAGGCCTGAGCAGGGCCATGGCTCTGGGGGCAGAGAACCACTCACTATATGCAGCTCCAGACAAGTCACTGGGCCCTGGGCAACCAGCTGGGAGGACCCAAGTCACCATGTGTCTGGGGCCAGATGCCATCGGATGCCCCATGTGTCAGGAGTTGCATGGGAAGCAGACTTCTGTACAAAGGAACTGCCGGGCTCAAGACCTGGCAAACCCAGGAAGAGCAGAAAATGCCACACACAGGTGGGCCAATCTCCTGCATCACCACACCTGTTGCACTGGGACTTCTCCCTGGGTCACATCTCTGCACTCAAGGGGCTTCTCAGGAACCCCCTGCCAGAGGGGAGAAGGACTGGGCCACACAGGAGTTGGTCCCATGTGTCGGTGCTAACAAGCGACACTCACTGGTAAAGGAAAATCCCCTCCTCCCGTGGACGGAGCTGCCCGCAGCCTCTGCAGGTGATCAAGGTCATCTGTAAGTCCTGATTCCTGGAGGGACGATGGCACTGCTGACAGGTTGGGATCCTCAGAGCAACTGAGTGCAGATGCCCCTTGGATTACCTTGGGGTCACCCAGCTGAAAAATACCTGAAATTGAAAATGCATGTAATCCAGCACACTTACTGGTCATCCTAGCTGAGTGGCACATCCCCATTAGCACCAGACGCATCTTCCTTTTCCTCCTCCCATGCAGAGGAACTAAAGCAAACTCCTGAGCTTGACAGATTACAGGACTTCAGTAGACAAGTACATGCTGCCTGCTTGTGACTTTCAGAGTCTGGCCTCGGGAAGCCCGCTGAAGTCGCAGAGCCATCTGGTCGGCATGGCCAGAGGAGGGAATTCATTGTAACAGAGTGTCAAGGGGTGAGGCTAACCAAGGGCAGGGATCAGCACTGGCTCTGGGTTCAGTGGGCGTCATCTTGGTTAATGAAACCCTGAAATCGCCTGACACGTAATTCACCTCTGTCAGATCCCCGCCAAAGAGCATTTTTTTAGCTGCTCAGTCTTACAGAACATCCTATTATGCCCTCCCCAGGATAAAATCAAGCCATCCGCAAGTTTCTCAAGAAACTGCACTGATGTCTAACATTGATAAAACATTATCTGTTATCAGACCACAGCCTCAACCGCTGACCTGCTGTCAGTTATGACCTCAGCCAGCCCAGCCTCCCTTCTGCACAGTTTCAAAGCCCAGACCACACTCCCTGCTTCCTGAGACGGCAGGCTGCCAGCCTCCTCACCCACCAGTGGGTTAATAAGCTGCTTCTTTCCCTCATCCTCAGAACTTGTCCCTTTGTTTTTCTGAATTGGGACTATTGGCAAGAACTGGATTTCGTTAACAGAGACACAGCACACTGCAGAGTTTAAGGGGCACTCTCTTGGGACCACTGGGAGCTGCACCCACTCACTGCCCCTGCCCAGTGCCATGAAAACGGATGACAGCATATGGCAGGGGACACATCGAAATTGAAAGCACAGTTTCTACTGGATGTGTATTGCTTTCACACCATCATAAAGTTAAAACAAATACAAAAACACACGTTGAACACCTGCAAAAGGTTGGTGTGGAGGAGAGACTGGCCTCTGTCACCACCTCCTTCAGTGACGGCCCCTGCCCCCAGGGCGTCTGTGCTCACCGTCAGATCAGAAGTCCTGGTCCAGGGGTGGCTGGGTGGTAGTCAGGAAGCTTCCATCCAAGTGAACATAACAGAGTCCACACACTGCAATTCTCACCCAGACACCCTGGCGCAAAACGGCCAGCTGGCAAACAGAGGAGACGTTGATAGGAGTGGCGAATCCTGTCCCTAGTAGAGTTTTCCTATACAGTGGATCCAAGGAGGAGTTGCATGTAGAACCCAAGTGATTGGCTGGTATGTCTCTTGGGGCATCCAACTGGACTTTTGCATTGAACATCTACAGGGGTTATACCCAGATACCTTGATCAGTTGCAAAAGTTGCAAAAGATAGATAGGCTGGCGCCGCGGCTCACTAGGCTAATCCTCCGCCTGCGGCGCCGGTACTCCAGGTTCTAGTCCCATTCAGGGCACCGGTTCTGTCCCAGCTGCTCCTCTTCCAGTCCAGCTCTCTGCTGTGGCCCGGGAGCACAGTGGAGGATGGCCCAAGTGCTTGGGCCCTGCACCCCTTGGGAGACCAGGAGAAGCACCTGGCTCCTGGCTTCGGATCAGCACAGCACACCAGCCATAGTGGCCATTTTGGGGGTGAACCAACAGAAGGAAGACCTTTCTCTCTGTCTCTCTCTCACACTATCTAACTCTGCCTGTCAAAATATATATATATATAGATAGATAGATAGATAAATAGATAGAGATAGATATGATAGATAGACAGACAGACAGACAGACAGCTGATGGTTAATCCTATTAGTTCTATTTCTCCGGAGAACCCTGACTGATAAACCAGTCTCAGACATATCACCCATTCCCAACTATGGCCTGAACAATATATCTGTCACTGCCAGCTTCCTGGTTCTCCCCTCTCCCCCGAGTGCTATTGTCATCCTGAGTGACTGTGCAACGTTCAGGTCCTACCCCTTGGGTTCTCGGTCCTGGGTCAGCTCACTGCCAGGGACCCTCCCTGGCGTCCCCGAGGACTGCCACTGGGGATGGCTGCTCATTCACTTCCCACCCCTCAGCCTCCCGTACTTCCTTCACTCCAGCACTCCCACCACACCAGCGCCTTAACACCATCGAGACCTTCTGGCCCAAGGACCCCTACTGTCTCTTTGTCTGGCAGCTCCCGCTCATCCTCAGAGCTCCCACTCGCCCTCTGTTGTCCTTGTATTTTTTTAATTCAATGTTTCAATCCAGTAAAGATTTCACGGAACAATACATCTATCACACTCGCCAACTTCCACAATTCTCTAGTTCCTCTCTCTTGCTTCTCCACAAAATCCCCCTCAGAATGCATGCATCCTGTAGCTGTCTTGTGCTGGCATCCCGGGTGCTAATCACTGTGAGAGAGAAACCACAGCGCTGAACAATTCGGTACCATTATCGTAGCTGGCAGCATGGACTGTGTACTTAACCCCTGCCAGGCATCATACAAAAATGCATTGCATAGATTAGCTCACCCTGCCTCCTACATCATGCTGGAAACCTGCCCGGAAACTCTGTGCTCAAATCTCTTGAAACTCACTCTCATCCGAAAACTTTCTCCCCTGCTGCCCAAAGAGAATTGAAGTCATCAATTAAGAGCTCAGCAGAAGTCTTGCCTTATATCTCAGTAGCACTCGATAGAAGAGACCCCGCCCCTCTCATCCAGGCACCCTCTGTCTTCCCAGCCCCACAGTCTGCTGGGTTTCCTTCCTCTTTCTGTTACCTCCCGTGTCCATCTACTCATGCTTGTTGCTGACCTCCAGTATCTTTAGAATATCCCCTTCTCTCCAGATTCATTCTTCCTTGGCTATCTCTTGAAAATGTGTGGATTAGGGGTCGGCACTGTGACGCTGCAGGTTAAAGCCCTGGCCTGAAACCCCGGCATCCCATATGGGTGCCAGTTTGAGTCCCAGCTGCTCCTCTTCCAACCCAGCTCTGCTATAGCCTGGGAAAGCAGTGGAAGATGGCCCAGGTGCTTGGGCTCCTGCACCCACGTGGGAGACCCAGAAGAAGCTCCTGGCTCCTGGCTTCAGATCAGCACAGCTCCTGCAGTTGTGGCCATCTGGGGAATGAACCAGCGGATGGAAGACCTCTCTCTGGCTCTACCCCTCTCTGTAACTCTGTCTTTCAAATAAATAAAATAAATCTTTAAAAAAGAAAATGTGTGGACTGCCTTACCATCACATACAAAAATTAGTCTCCAGTACTTCCAAAGAGCAGTAAAGCAAAAAGAAATAAAATTACTCTCTAATTAGATGCTTTACCCAGATTCCGTCCTAAGCTCAGACTTACTCAACATTTCCACTTGGATCCAACCAGCCTGGAGGAGAAAGCAGAACAGATCTCTCCACATCCACCTACTTCTCTGCCTCTGCCCCGCCCCCAAGTCAGCAATTGGGTCGCACCCTTGTCTCTCACTCTCCCTCACCATCTACCCATTTCTGCCAGTCACTAGTTCTGTAGCTTCCAATTCTCTGAAAGTTGTCCACTGCTCTCGTGCCCACTGCCATTCCTGTAGGCCAGAACACTATCCTTCAACTGCAAGAAACTTCTAGTCAATCTACATGCCTTCAGTTATGCCTGCATTAAATTTAATGTACTGGGGCCGGCGCGATGACATAGTAGGTTAAGCCTCTGCCTGTGGCACCAGCATTCCATATGGGCGCCGGTTCGAGTCCTGGCTGCTGCTCCTCTTCTGATCCAGCTCTCTGCTGTGGCCTGGGAAAGCAGTAGAAGAAGGCCCAAGTGCTTGGGCCCCGCACCTGCGTGGGAGACAGAATGTGAGTGACAGAGCACCCATAGCCTGCGGGGTTGGGGAGGGTGGTGACCACCACTCACGCCCTAACCCAACAGTGAGCTGGACAACACTCCACTTTTCAATATTCTCTGTGTCCCAAAACACAGGTTTTGTTCCGTTTTCACGGAGGCTTGTTTAGCTCATTCAAGCCTAATTTCATTGATGTAATTCTCATATCTGTCATGGATCCCTCCTCTTGTCTTCAAAGACACGGGATACTGGGCCAGACGGCACAGCGGCCTGTGAATGCTAGGGTGGAGGCCCAGCCCGCGCTGAGAAGCAATTGCGAGACTGCTCTCAAAGGCGCTGACGACAGGGACTGGACCCGCCGTCTGCCTTCCCATGAGGAAGCTGGGCAGAGTGGGCGAGCAGGAGTCTGAGCTGTCTCTCACATGCGCATACCACAGCCACAAGGAATCCAGGGACATTAGCAAGTGACACCCAATCAGCCTGTCACCCCTGAGCTCTGACATGCCTGGGTGTGAAACCTCCGTACCATGTCACAGCGCACTGGGAACGAGGCCCACCGGGGACGCGGTGGTGACCTCCCCGCATCACACACGCTGCCCCCGTCTCCACACGGCCTCGCATAGACCACAGATTAAAGCCGCTCTTGGGATCCACTCCTACAGCAGCGTAGGAAATGTTTGCCCAGAACGCCTGCCACAGATGGGTCACGTCAGTGGCGGTGCTGCCTGGGGACGCCCCTCGGTGAGGCACAGGCGGGATCTGTCTGGGGCCCCGGAGTCACCCCCTCCAGGAATTTGCTGGCAACCCCAGAGTCACAGTCTGTAATAGCTGTGGCCGTGCAGCAGGGCCCGAGTGTGCGTGGTACGGTTCTTCTGGAATGAGAAGAGGTGGTGCCCGGGGACAGTGGAATGCTTTTCCAAAAAAAAGCGTTGACTTGCAACTATGGCCTGGTGACTTCTGAGGATCTCAGCCCACAGCCCAGAGTCTGCGGAGGGGCTGGAAGCACCGAGAGTGGCCGCAATCCTCTCACCTCATCTTACACTTCTCTGCAGGTCGGGCCACAAAGGCACTTGGGGGTCCACCTGCTAGGCAAGCAAGGGCCTGCTTGTTTGTTTCTTAGGTGAAATAGATTCATAATTCCCACTTCACAGACCTAAACAGAGTCTGCCGCAGTCTTTTATCCCGTGTCCTAAGGAGACAAAGCAGTGGCAAGATTTAAATAAAAAAAAAAAAAAAGGCAAAACATCAAGGACATTTTCCCTGCTGCACTATTTTGATTTTCCAATTCAAGCAGAGCTGGCCCTATTCAAGGGCAAATGTATTTAAGATCTGGTGGCTCACTAGGCTAATCCTCTGCCTGCAGCGCCGGCACTCCGGGTTCTCCGGGTTCTAGTCCCAGCTGGGGCACTGGATTCTGTCCCAGTTGCCCCTCTTCCAGGCCAGCTCTCTGCTGTGGCCTGGGAAGGCAGTAGAGGATGGCCCAAGTGCTTGGTCCCTGCACCCCATGGGAGACCAGGAGGAAGCACCTGGCTCCTGGCTTCGGACTGGCACAGCGCCAGCCGTAGCGGCCTTTTGGGGGGTGAACCAACGGAAGAAAGACCTTTCTCTCTGTCTCTCTCTGTCTGTAACTCTACCTGTCAAATAAACAAATAAAAAAATCTTTAAAAAAAAATGTATTTAAGATCGCGCACACAGTTCAGTGTTAAATGAAGCCCAACCACAGGAGGAAGCAGAATAGAGAGAGGAGAGATGTGAATAGGGCAGGAGAGGAAAGCAGGCTCTGTGCAAAAGGCAGAAGCAGGGACCAGGGCAGATTCACTCCAGGGACACAGAGAAGAAACACAAAACGCATGACAAGGACAGTCGTAGGCAAATAATGAAAGCGGAGTGGCGAGACTGATAATCGCAGACATAAAGCGGAGAGAAAACAGAAACCTAACTGGAAAATAGTGAGGATGCCTAAAGATCAGACCAGAAGAAAAACTTACAAAATGCAGGACATGTTCGGTTCCAGCAGGGTCTTTCCAACAAAGAAATCATAAACAAAATGCAAAATCTTCACATGTTGAGAGAGGGAGAGGAGAAACGTCAAGCGTTGTCCCACACAGCTGCATCCTAACAAGAAAGCCGTTATCTGATTATTAGCTAACGCTCCTAATCAGAACACAGGGAAGCGGTAGAGATGTCGGGGAGATGTGTGGCTCCAGAGTTCTGTGTCTTCCCCCTGACACGTGTCTGCTGTGATAAAAATACATTCTAAGAGAGGAAAGTCATCGAATGTGAATGACCCGTGTAGCTTGTCGAAGACATATCGACCAAATAAAAATGAACTAATTAGAAGCATGATGATGACACAACTGACAGTGAGCAGTCAGCCTAGTGAAGCTTCAGTGCTCGTACAAGAGGATTTGTATCTTAAGTAACCGCCGTGGGTCCAAGAACAAAGCTCAGAGTATTTATAGTAACATGAAAATATCCAGCAGCAAGCAAGATAAAACTCACAAGTCTGGCATCCTACAAAAATGTTATCAGACATGCAGAGAAGTAAGAAGATACAACCCACAGTGAGAGGGGAAAAAATCAATTAGCTAAGCCTGGCAAAGAAATGAAACAGACCAGACAAGGATGTTTAAAAAATAATGTTGCAACTTATTTCCAGATACTCAAGAACATAGAAGAAAGATTGAACATATTTAGAGACCTGGAAGATACGAAATCAACAAAATTTAACCTGTAGACATGAAAACTACAATGAGTGAGATAAAGAATGTGCTGGATGCCATGAATGGCAAATTAAACATTGCAAAAGAAAAGATGATTGCTCCTGAGCACATGGAAATGGGAGCAATTCAAAGAGAAACGCAGAGAGAAAGGCAGGTTTCAAAAATGAAATGGGCATTTAGTGAGCCACGGGAATAGCACCAAAGGCTTTTTTTTTTTTTTTTTTTTTTGACAGGCAAAGTTAGACAGTGAGGGAGACACAGAGAGAAAGATCTTGCTTCCATTGGGTCACCCCTCAAACGGCCGCTACAGCCGGCACACTGCACCCATCCGAAGCCAGGAGCCAGGTGCTTCTTCCTGGTCTCCCATGCGGGTACAGGGCCCTAGGACTTGGGCCACAGCAGAGAGCTGGACTGGAAGAGGGGCAACCGGGACAGAATCTGGCACCCCAACCAGGACTAGAACCCGGTGTGCCGGCGCTGCAGGCAGAGGATTAGCCTAGTGAGCTGCGGCGCCAGACACCAAAGGCTTTTGAGTTCCAAAGCAAGCAGGTAGGAGACAAAAAATATGTGAAGAAATAATTTCTGGAAACGTTCCAAGTGTTACAAAAATTATAAACTGACATTCAAGAACCCCTATTAACTCCAAGAAACATAAAGAAAAACTGCATGAGAGGTTTTCATTGTCAAATTGCCAAAAAATGTGCAAAGAAAATTCTGGAAGCCACCAGGGGAAAAGAAGACGCACCAACACCAACATAAGGATGATGGCAAATTTTATTTCTGCCAAAAACTGCAACTTAGACGACAGTAGAATAGCATCTTAAAAGTGTGGGAGGAAAAAAACTTTCGGTCTAGAATTTTTTTAACCAATATGTTTTGTTTTCAAAACTTATGGGGGAAAATTAATTTTTGAGTATACTAGATCTGCAAGAACCCATCACTAGCAGACGCAAGTATGAGAATACAAAGGATATCTTTCAAGAGGAAGGAAAACAGCACCAGATGTAAATTTCGATCTACACAAAGGAATGAAGAACTCCAGAAATAGAAAGCATATAGGAAAAACTAGAGTCTCCTATTATTCAATAGTCTCAAAAAGAGCACTGAGTATGTCACATAATAAGATAGTATGGGACTCATAGTACTTGTAGAAGTAAACTGTGGCCGTAGCTGCATAGAGGCTGCCAGGAAAGAAATGGAAGGATGGAAGTAGAACCTCCTGAGACTCTTGGGTTGCATGCAAAGCAGTGTAATATCGGCCGGCGCCGCGGCTCACTAGGCTAATCCTCCGCCTGCGGTGCCGGCACCCCTGGTTCTAGTCCCGGTTGCCCCTCTTCCAGTCCAGCTCTCTGCTGTGGCCCGGGAGTGCAGTGGAGGATGGGCCTCTGCACCCTCATGGGAGACCAGAAGAAGCACCTGGCTCCTGGCTTCGGATTGGTGCAGCACACCGGCAATAGCGGCCATTTAGGGGGTGAACCACCGAAAGGAAGACCTTTCTCTCTCTTTCTCTCTCTCTCTCTCACTGTCTAACTCTGCCTATCAAAAAAAAAAGGCAATATAATATCACTTGCAAGTACACTGTGCTCAATTAAGTACTTATACTACAAATCCTAAAGGAATCACTGACCTAAAATATCACATAAGATGGCCACATGCTAACAAAGATGAAGTGAGTTGTTTAAAAACATCAGTTACCCTGAGAGAAGGAACAATAAGAGAGAACCAACAACAGATGAGGCACATAGCAAACAAATACCAAATAATCATATGAGAAGCAAGGGGTCTAAATCATCAATTAAAAGTCAAAGATGTAAGAAGGGAGAAAAAAAAAAAGCAAGACCTAAGCATATGCTAGCCATCAGAAACACATGTTAAAGAAAAAGAATCAGAGACGGAAAGTACTGGGAAAACACACACAGAGCTAACGCCAACCAAAACAAAGTGGGAGGAGCATTTGCTCCGTCAGAATCTGAGATCGCAAACACCTGTCTCCACAACTAATAGAATAAGTAGGAAGGAAACCAGTTGAGGTGGACGGCACCTGCTACCCAGCGAGGGCCGCATCCGTTGGCTGTCCCAGGGCCGTGGGGAACACGCACCATCCATCACACGCCCTCTGCTGCAGACGAAGTCTCAGTGAACCCGAGGGCTACGATCAGATGGGTCTTCTCTGACAGCAGGAAACTACTTCAGTGGGGAGCAGCAAACTAGACAAAGCCAGCAATGTGGAAGGATCGCTAAGACACTTCTGAACGATTCACGAGCAAGGGAGGAAGCGGAACGTAAATTATAAAGAATTTTGAAGTGATTAAAATGAAAACACAATGGCAACAGTAGTCAACACTTACCTGACCTGCTTGCCAGCTAGTCCTGCTCTCTCTCAAAAGGAAAGAAAAAGAAGGGCCGGCGCTCTGGGGTAGCGGGTAAAGCCGCTGCCTGCAGTGCCGGCATCCCATACGGGCGCTGGTTCGAGTCCCAGCTGCTTCCCTTCCAATCCAGTAATCTGCTAGCTCTCAAAAAAAAAAAAAAATTGCGGAATGCAGCTAAAGCAGAATCTGAGGACATTTTGCAGTGCTAAATGCCTATATTACAAAAATAAGAAAGGTTGGGGGCCGGTGTTGTAACACTTGCTTAGATCCCCGCTGCTCTGCTTCCTATCCAGCTTCCTCTAACGCGCCTGGGAAGTGTCAGGTGATGGCTTCAGTGAGACACCCAGGTGCAGTTCCCGGCTCCTGGCTTCAACCTGGCCCAGCCCCAGCTGTTGCAGGCATTGGGGAGTGAGTAGGTGGATGGAAGATCTCTCTGGCTCTGCCTCCCTCTGAATCTCTCCCCACAACCCCACCCCATCATTCTGCCTTTCAAATACATAAATAAATCTTTTTTGTAGATTTTATTTACGTATTTGAAAGTCAGAGTTACACATAACGAGGAGGAGAGGCAAAGAGAGAGAGAGGTCTTCCATCTGCTGGTTCACTCCCCAATCGGCTGCATCGGCCAGAGCTGTGCCGATCCAAAGCCAGGAGCTTCTTCTGGGTCTCCCACGTGGGTGCAGGGGCCCAAGCACTTGGGCCATCTTCTACTGCTTTCCCAGGCCACAGCAGAGAGCTGGATTGGAAGTGGAGCAGCCGGGACTAGAACCAGCACCCATATGGGATGCCGGCACTGCAGGCAGTGGCTTTACCCACTACACCACAGCACCGGCCACAAATAAATAAATAAATCTTTTTTTTTTTTTTTTGACGGGCAGAGTTAGTGAGAGAGAGAGAGACAGAGAGAAAGGTCTTCCTTCCGTTGGTTCACTCCCCAAATGGCTGCTACAGCCAGCGCGCTGCGCCGATCCGAAGCCAGGAGCCAGGTGCTTCCCCCTGGTCTCCCATGTGGGTGCAGGGCCCAAGCACTTGGGTCATCCTCCACTGCCCTCTCGGGGCCACAGCAGAGAGCTGGACTGGAAGAGGAGCAACTGGGACAGAGCCGGTGCCCCAACCGGGACTAGAACCCGGAGTGCCGGCACCGCAGGCAGAGGATTAGCCTAGTGAGCCGTGGCGCAGGCCACAAATAAATCTTTTTAAAATGAAATAAGAAAGGTCACAAATCAGAGACATCATCTCCCACGTTAAGGAACTAGAAAAATATTTCAAAAAATCATGTTCTTCACGATAAATATGTACAAGTTTGATTTTCCAGTTTAAATAATAAAATTTTAAAAATCATTAAAGACACAGTACTAAAAAAAGAAGCTAGGAAAAAAAGAGGAAAAGGAATGCAAAGGAAGCAGAAGAAATGGAATAAAAAAGATGGGAGAAGAGATGGATAAAATAGGAAAACATTGCTAGAAAATTAATACCACCAGGAACAGCATTGTGGCATACGCCACTAAGTTGCCACCTGCAACTGTGGCATCCCCTATGAACACCAGTTCTAGTCCCAGCTGCTCCACTTCTGATCCAGCTCTCGCTATGGCCTGGGAAAGCAGTGGAAGATGGCCCAAGTCCTTGGGCCCTGCACTCACATGGGGACTCCAAAGAAGCTCCTGGCTCCTGGCTTTGGATCGGCCCACTTTCAGCCATTGCGACCATTGCAACCATTTGGGGACTGAACCAGTGGATGGAAGATTTCATCTCTCTCATTCACTCTCATTCTTTCTGTAACTCCTTTCAAATAAATAAATCTTTAAAAAAATAAACAAGTTTTCAAAAAGAAAATTAATAAAGCTAAGAGCAGAATGTTTGAGGAGATGTAAATATCAATAAACTTCCATGCAGAAGATCAAAGGGAAAAGAGAAGACACAAAATCTTCAGTATGTGGGACAGGAGTGGTTCCATCAACACCTATTGTGTACACGTGGGAAACAGCCCATGTGTTCTCCCTAAAAATGGTGGCACCTATCTCCACCTGCTGCACCCCAAAGATGCCCCCCGGGCAGCACCAGAGCTTAAAGAGGAGATCAGGGTCACAGAACAGATTTTTTTTTTGGGTGCCATCTCAATTTTGAAAGGCCATGACCTGTGCGCACAGCCACAGAGACACAGCTGAACAAACGCCCACCCGCATGCTGTCGGAACTCTGGGGCTTGTTAACAATGAGCTCATTTCGCTTTAACAATGAAACAATCAAGCTATTTTAGAAGCATTAATCTTCAGATGA